AATTCAATTTGAGCTTGATGAATAGATGATTGAGTGGAAGTTTAATGGATATGTTTTGCTTGTGAATACTTGTTATTAGAAATTAGGGTTGATTGTAAGAAACTTGAAGGATTCGGCCTAAGTATATGTTGGTTGCAATTTGGCTTTTGTTTGTGTATTGGATGATGGTGTTGTTGCTTGATGAATTTGGTTTATCGATGGTTATTTGGTTGGGTTGGTTGAAGATTGGATGGTGATATTGGTGTGAGATGACTAGGGTTATTGAATGAATTCGGCTAGAGTTAGGTTATATGATTTTGCATGCTTGTGCAAATGGATAAATCGCACACTATAAATTAGACAAGATATTTAAGTATTACTAACAATGTATAGATTGAGAGATGACATCATCTAATATGCAAAAAAATTTAAAAATAAAATTGATAAAGATCAACGGATTTGGGAATATATTGATATGAGAGTAATACCTTAGGGGATACATTGAGATTTCCCTAAAAAGAGGCAAATAGAAAGTTCCCGTAACTTTTTGGATGTTTTTTGTGAAAAAAGAAGAAGACAAAACAACTTCTTGGAAGACGAAGTAATTTGGAAAAGTTGAAGTTATAAATTACTTCTTCCGGTTTAGAAAAATGAATGAATGAATTTTTTTTAAAAGCTAATTATTTGGTTCGTACATGTTTAGATTTTTCCGTAACTTAATATTTTTTATTTTTTTTCAATTTAGTTTATTTTTTATTTTAAGAAAAAAAGTAAAAAATAGAAAAATTTGTTGAAAAAAATATATTTCTTAAAATAAAATAATGTTAAATTAAACATGATTAACAAAAAAATTATTAAACAAAGCTTGATTTGTGGTGGAAAAAAAATGACATACTGGAAAACAATAAGAAATTTCGACAAAGAAACAATAGGGAATAATTAGTCATTGTGGAATTTATAAATCCTTTTTTGTATAATATTAATTGTTGAGTTGATCTTGACTTAGAAAATGAATGAATATATAGTATCCATTTATATTAAATTAAACATGATTAACAAAAAACAAAATATTAAACAAAGCCCGATTTGTGGTGGAAAACAAAAAGTGACATACCGGAAAACAATAAGAAATTTCCAACAAAGAAACAATAGGGAGACAAGAATAATTAGTCATTGTGGAATTTATAAATCCTTTTTTGTATAATATTAATTTTTGAGTTGATCTTGACTTGGAAAATGAATGAATATATAGTATCCATTTATATTAAATTAAACATGATTAACAAAAAAAATATTAAAAAAAGCCTGATTTGTGGTGGAAAAAAAAGTGACATACCGGAAAACAATAAGAAATTTCCGACAAAGAAACAATAGGGAGACAAGAATAATTAGTCATTGTGGAATTTATAAATCCTTTTTTGTATAATATTAATTGTTGAGTTGATCTTGACTTGGAAAATGAATGAATATATAGTATCCATTTATATTAAATTAAACATGATTAACAAAAAAAAAAAAATTAAAAAAAGCTTGATTTGTGGTGTAAAAAAAAAGTGACATCGGAAAACAATAAGAAATTTCCGACAAAGAAACAATAGGGAGACAAGAATAATTAGTCATTGTGGAATTTATAAATCTTTTTTTGTATAATATTAATTGTTGAGTTGATCTTGACTTGGAAAATGAATGAATATATAGTATCCATTTATATTAAATTAAACATGATTAACAAAAAAAATATATATATATTTAAAAAAGCCTGATTTGTGGTGGAAAAAAAAATTGACATATCGGAAAACAATAAGAAATTTCCAACAAAGAAAAAATAGGGAGACAAGAATAATTAGTCATAGTGGAATTTATAAAATCCTTTTTTGTATAATATTAATTGTTGAGTTGATCTTGACTTGGAAAATGAATGAATATATAGTATCCATTTATATTAAATTAAACATGATTAACGAAAAAAATATTAAAAAAGCCTGATTTGTGGTGGAAAAAAAAAGTGACATACCCGAAAACAATAAGAAATTTCCGACAAAGAAACAATAGGGAGACAAGAATAATTAGTCATTGTGGAATTTATAAATCCTTTTTTTGTATAATATTAATTGTTGAGTTGATCTTGACTTGGAAAATGAATGAATATATAGTATCCATTTATATTAAATTAAACATGATTAACAAAAAAACAAATTATTAAACAAAGCCTGATTTGTGGTTGAAAAAAAAAAGTGACATACCTGAAAACAATAAGAAATTTCCAACAAAGAAACAATAGGGAGACAAGAATAATTAGTCATTGTGGAATTTATAAATCCTTTTTTGTATAATATTAATTGTTGAGTTGATCTTGACTTGGAAAATGAATCAATATATAGTATCCATTTATATTAAATTAAACATGATTAACAAAAAACAATTTATTAAACAAAGCTTGATTTGTGGTGGAAAAAAAAGTGACATACCGAAAAACAATAAGAAATTTCCGACAAAGAAACAATAGGGAGACAAGAATAATTAGTCATTGTGGAATTTATAAATCCTTTTTTGTATAATATTAATTGTTGAGTTGATCTTGACTTGGAAAATGAATGAATATATAGTATCCATTTATATTAAATTAAACATGATTAACAAAAAAAATTATTAAACAAAGCCTGATTTGTGGTGGAAAAAAAAAGTGACATACCGGAAAACAATAAGAAATTTCCGGCAAGGAAACAATAGGGAGACAAGAATAATTAGTCATTGTGGAATTTATAAATCTTTTTTTGTATAATATTAATTGTTGAGTTGATCTTGACTTGGAAAATGAATGAATATATAGTATCCATTTATATTAAAATTAACATTGACGCATAACTATACCTCGACTAAAAAGAACTAACGTTACCTAATGGCAGATCTAAATCATTCTACCTTACTGACTTTTCCATGGTGGTGTACACCTTATTTTAGTTAATAATATGGCATAAAAAATTAAAAAAATAAAGTAAGTCTAAAAGGAAACCAAATTAAAGTATAACATAATGAATAACATATTGTCAAGTGTTGGATTAATTTCCACAATGAGAAAGGAATGTCGTCTTTATGAGAAAAAGCAATTAAAGGAACATTAAAAGAAGATAATTCAACTTAGAATAGTGAAAGACCCTATTTAAGATGACATTCTTTCATTTTCAACACTCTTTCTCCTTCTCATTACTAAAAAAATTATAATATACAAAGAGTAACTAATGACAACTAATAAATTACTTTATCATTTGTAAACTTCAACTATCATAAAAAATTTTGGTACACATTGATTTAAAATTAATGACAGGAACTACCTAAAAAAAAAAAAAAAGCGTGATTAAGGAGTTGCAGCCACTACAAAACATTGAAAGCCAGACTTTCTCTCTTGCAAAAAGCCTATGAGCAATTTGGAGGGAAAGCAAGGGAATTAGGGTTTTCATCTTAATTGTAGAAAATCCTAGAGTAATTTGAAGAGAAGAAAAAGCCATTCTCTTGTAAAAATCGAAAAGAAGAAAAAAGTGTAGTATTTTGAATCCAAATCAAGAGCAAATCTCGATGTAATTTGATGTCGGTATCTCAAATCTTATGTATTATAAAATTTCTCCCCGTTACCTAGAGGAGGAAGTGAGACAGAGGGACTCTCACTACTAGGTTTTAAGGCTAACTTTCAGAATATCCCACAAACAAATTGAGCTAATTAAATGAATCCTTACACTTCTGCGAATAGTCAGGAGTTACATGTGGAAAAACGACATCAAAGAGTTATAGAGCTTCTCTAGCCAACTAGTAGGCAGCCTTAACTCACCACATTGGGAACTTGAGTTTCTTAAGGCTACTAAGCCTGGAAAACAACAGTGCCAGCACTACGATCCCCCAAAAGTAGGTTATTTGGTTTGGCTACAGACGTTGATCCTTGAGAACTATTAGCTAGTAATATAAAATAATTCTCAAACTCTCACTTAATAACTTAACTTTTTAGATATAGATGATTTTTTTCATGGTATCATAAAATTAATAGCTAAATAACCACGAGTTCAAATCTCATCATCCTTATTTATTTTTTAATTAATTAAGTATAAGATAGTGTGGGGTTTCATAAATTTCAAACATAAAAAGATTTTACTTGATAAAATGTGTTAAAAAGTAATATAAAATCATCCATGAAAACTCATTCAATAACTTAAGCTTTTAGATTGAAAATGTTTCTTAACGCGAATAACTTTTTCAATGGTGAAGTCATTTCTAACATTTCTTGTTGTTGGAATCTTCTGAACCTTAATTTAGAGGGAAAAAAATCTTAGTAGCAACCTTCATGGCAAGTACCCCTTTCTATCGGAAATCTTTCATCTATCGTTAAAATTGATGGAACAACGAATAATTTGCAAGGGCATATTCCCAATAGTATTGGGAAATTGAAAACATTAAACTTCTTTCCCCTTCGCTCAAAAATTCTGAGTGGTACAATCTCTCCCTCCCTAACATTATTCTATATTGATTTGTACGAATAAAATAAAATAAAATAACCTAAATACATAACCAGCTAGCAACGACGTTAATAATGAATTTTCAGCAACATAACTAGACATAGCTTAATGGTTATTTACCCAATAGTTTTTTTTTTTGTTTTTTTTTTTTTTTTAATGTAGTAGGTTCAAATTCTAATTTTTTTGTTTTATTTAATTGTTATATAATGAAAGAAAACTACTTCCTACTGTGTAGCACAAAACCCATAAACCTGCAGATGAGCTGAAAAATAAAACATAAAAATAATGAGTTCACCCAAATTAAAGCATATGAAAATTGAGAATACGCCACCAAAACAAGAACATGGTGAAAATAAGTAAACCAGCAAAGTACACAGAGACAATTATCATCTCTCAAACACGGATAAAAAAGTGACACACTAAGGGTACGTACTAGCTATTCCTTCGAAGCCAGTTGTTGGGAAGTACACGGGAAAACCCATGTACTAGCTATTACTCATTCATTATTTGAATCGGTACTCAAACCACCCCGTCCTCCAGCTGCGTCATATCATGGAGGTCCGCCGGTTCCCTGGCACCTACCACATCCATAGTTACAAAAGCTGCAACCAGGGGTAAGGCGGGGGGCCTTTCTATTTGCCACAAAGTCTCCCTCATTATCAGTAACCCCGAGCCGATCATCATCACTCCCTAATCGCCTCACTGCAATTATTCGGTTGGAACATGAAAGAAAAATAATGGTAACAAAGAGTATTATAGTCAAGTATGGATTACAATTTCTTTTAGACCCCATTTATGACAAAAAAAAAAAAAAAAAAGCTGAGACTTTTAGGGAATCAAAATATTTTGGTATGTGTAGACAGCTAGCTAGTTAGCAAGATGCAGAGTGGTAGTAAAGATGGAGAGGTTAAGCTGCGTTTGTAACGATAACGAAGGAGAGCATGGTATATATATATATAAACATAAACATAAACGTGGAACATGCAATATGAGGCACGAAGTCAGCAGCATTGATATTATATACTTTCTTTTTTAAAATGTTATTATAATTTGGTTTGAAAAATCATAATAATAATGGTAACAAAGAGTATTATTGTCAACTATGGATTATTCCTGGAGACCTCATTTAAGTTATCAAGAAAGGAAAAAAACTGGGAATTTGTAGGGAATAAAATATTTTGATATGCGTAGAGAGGTTGCTAGCTTGCAAGATGAAGGGAGGTAGTGAAAGATGGAGAGGGCTGGCTAGATGGTGTGATAACGATAATGAAGGAGGATATATATATATATATACTTTTGGTACATGTTGGTCTTATAATACTTCTAAATGTCCAACAAAAAGAAAAAGAAAAAAACCATTGGTTTGAATTTCGATGTTCAATTTTCATTTTAGTAAGGTAAAGGGCAGTTAATTATTTTTTTTTCAAAAAAAAAAAAAATAGAGATTATATAACGCAATTAATTTGTGTATTTTGGCAATTTTTCAAATGGCATGTGTAATTTTTCTTTTTACTTTTTTTTTCCTTTTTTTCAAATGGATATGTGTACTATCAAAAGGGTAACAATCATGTAAAATTTAAAAAGATTGATGTATGGCATAGAATTTGTCATTTAAGTGATGGAATTACAATTATGATACGAATGTTAATTGATAATGTGTCAATTAGTGATTACATGTGTCGCTACCCAACTTTTGTTGGACTCTTGAAATTTTATTTATAATTTATTTGTTTGAAAAGTTTTGTTTACTTTGGGGATGTGAGTTATTTATCAATTTTAGAGTCGGCACCTAATATTTAAAGGAACTAAGCACCTAAAATAGGTATTGGTTTAGAAACCTTTGGGTAAGAAGTCTGGTTATACTTTTTGGGAAGATATTAATAACTCAAAAGCATCATTTCCTAGGAAGGATACTATATCTAACTTAATACTAAAATTTATCTCGCTTTAAGTTTCGTTTTTGTTAAGATTAATCCTAGTCAAAATTTCAAGCTTCATTTCCTATGTCAAGCTAAGTTTTTTTTTTTTAATTTTGTTTGTGGCATCTTATTGAATCAATCATCAAATCCCTCCGTAGGACTTCTCGTCAATTCAATATCGGATCCATTTGAAGTCTCGACATAACTAGTATGTTAGAGAATGACTTAATTACTAAAATGATTGATTCGAGTTAACAATAGTCCCTATTAGATTTGAGACTTTGTTAATTGGTTTTCTTTTTTTTTTTTTTGTTCCCTAACTTTTTTTTTTTTTTTTGGTTATTGTTTTCCTTTTCTCATTTTATTATTATTATTATTTTAAGGTTAGTGAAGAATCGTCATTAGTCCCTAAAATTTAAGCGATTCGATGATTCATCCTCCTATCAATTACATAATTAAATTATTGATTATTCAAACTCGCGTTTAATATTAAAATAAAATCTAAAAATTAAATTAATACTTCCAAAGCATTTATAGTAATCTAAAACCTAATTGAAAAATTCAGATTTAATTTACTATTAAATAATCAAATATATGAAATTTAAATGCCAAAAGAAAAAATTAGAAATTAAGCATTAAATGGAATCAATTGAGATTAAAAAAAAAAGAGAGAGGGAATTCAAGGTCACCAAAATAAATAAATCTAGACTAAAATAAAATAAAAAAGTATGGATGGAAATTTCTAATTAAAATTAACTAAAAATAACAATAAAATGAAAAATGAAAAAATGTTAGACTTTTGGGTCCAATGAGCTTTCGGCTCTTTGGGCCTCTTTAGGCCGAGCTTGTCGGGCGGACTCGCCTTCCTTGATCCGGCCCAACCCTTATCTTTCTTTCCTAAATGCTTAGCCCACAACCTCAACATAAACTATAACCCAATTTGAAACTCATATGAATAAAAAATCCTCATTTTGTTCTTCTTGGATACAAAATCAAGTGAAACACAAACTTCTCAAATTTCCTTTCCTTTTGACTCGAGATTCCTTCAATGGGACTCAAGCAATTCTAGATCGATTGTCAAACCATAAAATCATCACCGATGCCTCATCCAGATGAATTATAGGACTAGGCTTGTTAATGGTAGTGATAATGTCACTACCATTTTCCTTTGTTTATTTTGAGGATGGAATAGGTGTTAAATAAGTGCTATACTAGAAGTAGAGAATTTTGATTACTTGGGCAAAGCTTGATCAACTCGGTAAGGATTAAATGAATACCGCTATTGTGTTGAATCCTTTTTGTTGCAGGTGAATGGTGATTGGGTTTGCAAGGTGATGGATGCTCGGGTTTATGTGCATGTGTTTTGTTTATGGATGGTTGTGGGCTAGGTAGGTGGTTTATTTTTGGTGAAATGGCAAGAACAAGTGGATTTCTTGTGTTTTATTGAAAACCCAAAAAGCCAATGAAAAGAAACGCAAAAGTTCAATAAAATTTTGAAACCAAAATACCCAATTACTTTCCTAACTATTTTCTCCCCTTAATCATTGCCATGGAAGCTCAATTTATAGCCAAACCCAAAACCATTTCCTTCCCTAGGATCATCCTTAAACAACCTTGACCTTTGCCTACTAAAATCAAAATCTAGAAATAGATTTTAACATTAATGCACAAAACAAAACAAAAATAAAAACTAATTCAATGTGTACAGGTGTTGTACGGAGGTGTGTTGTGGTGGGTGTAGAGGTTCAATGGTGTAGACGTGAAGTGTGATCTTAGATTCTACAAATGTCGACCGAGAATCTTAGTAGGAAAAGGAATTTGGTTTCTAGGAAAAGGACAAGTGAATGATCTTGGGAATTGATTTTGGTTTGAAACAAATGATAGGTCATTCGATTGACTTTGGTCCTATCATTAACTCTCTAGTTTCAATTTAGTCCTCACACCTTGTGAATGTTCATAATTATACCCTTCTAGCATGCAATTTTGGTACTTTGGTCTTTTAATTTCTTTAATCGTATCTTTTGATCCTTTAATTTTGGTTCTAAGGTTTTTCGGTTATTCCAATTACATCCCCAATTGTTCCAATTTTAGTCTTAATTTTGTTAAATCATGCCCCTAGTTAATGTTGCCATGTAATTTTTGGATTTGTTTTGTATTTTCATATTTTTTTGTAATTTTGATTCTTTTTTCCAATTTTTTCTATAGTAAATTCCAAAATAAAATAAAATGAGAATAAAACAAGAGACAAATAAAGCCAATAAAAAAGGATAAAGTGGGATACAAAAAAATGAGAAAATTTTAGCTTATGAAATTTGCTCCCTCTTTACAATGCTTATGATGCAAATGCAAGTTGAAGCGTGAACTTTAGATTGGATTTTCTTAGTGAACTTGTAAAGAAGAAAAAGTAAATTGAGTGGTAAAATAGTTTGGTTAAAGTGGGTGGGTTGATTTGTAAAAGTAAAATTTGATGGCCTTGTTATAAAGGATAATCTGCCTTGAAAAGTAAAGTACAATGACCTTGTTATCAAGGGCGGTTTGTCCTGAAAAGTAAAATATGATGGCCTTGTTGTTAAGGGTGCTTTTCTCTAAAAAGTAAAATGCAATGGCTTTGTTATTAAGGATGGCTTACCTTAAAAAGTAAAATGTGATGACCTTTTTATTAAGGGTAGCTTACCTTGAATTGTAAAATGTGATGGCCTTGTTGTCAAGGATGACTCGTCCTAAAAATAAAATGTAATGGCCTTGTTATCAATGATAGCCTTTTCTTAAAGGTCAAATACAATGGTCTTGTTATCTTGGTGGCATGCTTAAAAAGTAAAATATGAAGCGACCCTACCTAAATTATGGTTTATTATTGGGCAAACTTACTAGAGATGATGGTTTATTATTAAATGACCCTACCTAAAATGACGATTTAGTGAACGCGAACCCCTTACAATCCAATGACTTTGAATTTTTTGCTTGAATGATGGTTTTTTTTTTCCTTTGATTTGAGAGGACGTTCTTAAAATATATCAATAAGGTGATTGCAATGGTTATCTTCTTACTTGTGAGAAAAATAGGTTGTCCTACCTTGTCAACACTCAACGTTTTCTCTTACGGTTCATTTTTTGCTATCTAGACTTCGTACTGAATATATCTTGTAGTATTGCTAAAGTTTCCTTAGCCTTTTGATCTTTATCATTTTTCATCATAAGCTTACGTTTTTTCACCTTTTTTGCAAAGAAACCGAGGTAGATTGGAGTTTTATTAACCTTTGAAGGTGACAACCATCCACTTGTTGTGATCTACCCTCGCGAGAACATTCCTAACTACTTTTATTTCTTGTCAAACTTTTGTTAAGTCATTAGCCTTTATCGGGACTACTCCTTGTCCCTTAGCTTGATGGCTTTGATCGTTTTGATTTATGCTCAAAAGCTTACCGTTTAGGCTTCTATTCCTCTAGTTGGCATGATGATGCCATTGTTTGACTAGTTGTTGAACTTGATTAGAGTGGGTAGGTTCTTGGTCTTTCCTTCAAGTGTTCTTAATTTTATCGATTATCATTTAGATTGGGTCACAAGATGCCCTCAAGTACTCGGTCGAGATAAAAATTTTTTGGCTCTTTTCATATAACCTTTATTTGTGCTCGGATTTTGTCTTTGATACTTGCATCATAATTTATAAATTGGTTTTAAAATTTTCATCATCATTTGAGAAAGATTATAGACATTTGGTTTCCATGGATTAACTCCGTGCACTTAAATGATTCTCTTAAATACAATTAAGATCATTTGATAGATATACGGAGATGTTTTAATAAAAATACTTGCATTTATGAAGATGTTAAATTTGATTGATCAAGAGTTAAAATATGACATTCAAATGCTATAATGCAATCTCTTTCAACGGGGTTATTAAGCTAAATAGGCAAAATATGTCCAGGTAATGCGAGGTTTGTATAGAAACTAATTTTTGATATGATTGGAGATAATTGGTCAAATGGTAAGTCTATCCGGTAAAAAATCGAATCGAAAAAAAACTTCTCTCGAAAAAAATTGCTAAACCCTAACAAACAACAATTATAACTAGGAAGAAGAAGACAAAGTCCCTCCATCCATGGTGGCTTGGCCACTATTGATACAGACATCCTAGGGCTCCACGATGGAAGTTTCCACCTAGTACATCTGCTGCAGGTGCCTAAAAATCAAAAGTATATGGCCATGGATAAACAAAGTCTTGCTATGACAACCAACACTAAGCAAGTTACTATCGTGGCTTCTAATTTTGATAGGCACCTAAGTAAACATGATTTAGTGTAGTTGTTACTCGCACCTATATTATCTTACCTAAGGGTCTTAACACATTTGAATGCATAAGGAAATACCCCAAAAACACCAAAACCATATCCCCTAAAAATAATTCCCTTTGTACCACAACAACTAGCAACTATCAATCGTCGAGCCGACCTATTTCTTCTCCTCAATTGAGTTAGAAATAGAAGCTTCCTAATTTCATAATACCTTGATTCTAAAATTCTCAAGAGGGAGATCACCTATCAAAGATATTCATGCTCATACACGGCGATTGTAAAAGTTAACCGATGAGCCAATTATATGTTTTCTTGATCCTAGGCATGTTATTATGAGGTTGAAGATAAAAGAAGACTTGATTCGGGTCCTCCGAAGGGAAGACCACAAGATACAAAACTCCATGATCGTGTATTTAGATGGAATCCAAATTTTTAATTCTACAAGGATAGCCCATATGGTTTTATATGGGTCAAATTACAACGCCTTCCCTTGCTGTTTTTTAATCCCTCTTACTTGAAACGGATAGGAGAAGGGATTGGGAGATTCTTGCATGCAAATGAGAGAAAAATGGCATTGACACACCCTATTTTTGTAAGAAGTTTCTTAAAGATGGATGTTTCAAAACCTTTACTAGGAAGAATATGGGTTGGCGACTCTAAGGAACATGGTTTACGGTAGAAGATTAAGTATGAAGGTAATTTGTTATATTGTTCATCATATGGCTTGATTGGGCAATTTGAGTACATTTGTCACAAGAGAAGTAAAGGGCATCAAATTGATATCGAAGGGTGAATTTGAAAGTAAAGACTAATACGAGAAGACATATTGATATCGTCCGTAAATCACAAGAGTAATAGGTTAGGTTGAAGGATAAATTAGTAATTAAGAAGGATAGCACGGGGAGAACATATCATAAAAAAAGGAACTACTAGTGGATTAGAAAAGGGGGAATGCAATAATCCAAAATAGATTCATATTTTAAGTTTAATGGGCAAATAGTTGCTATTGAATTGTACTAGTAATGGAGGATCAAACGAGTAGTGTGATCGGTACCCTTATTGATACCGAGGGGGATGGGATTGATCACTATAGTAAGGGCAGCCATTCTAACGTCTAGCATGTGAGTAAAAGTAAGATTATAGATATGGGAAAGGAGTAACAGGGGTATGTAGTCGATACTCACACTCGGAGGTATGAATTGTATTGGTGTGGCTACAAAAGTAAATGCCACAATAGCATGAAATATACAACACTTCTTAGGTACCTAAACCGATTCTTAGCATGTATCAAAAGACAGAGGCATGTCGTCTTCCGAATTAATTCAAGATGGATGTAATAGTGGGAGGGACCGACCACGAGAGGCAACTTATATTTCTATGGACAACAATCCACTGGATATAGTAGAGGAAGAAGGAGAATTTTTGTGACTAAGAAAGGAGTCGGAGAGGATATCCAATTTGGGGTCCGTGATTTTATGGGGTAAGGAGTTTGGTGGACTCGCTAGTGTTGATGGTAATGGAAACAAGTAGTGACAAACGTACAAACCATTTATTAGATGTGGCATAAATGGATAATAGCAAGGTGATGATATCTCATAATTTTATATTTTTTTAAAAAAATTAACAATTTAATTATAAACTAATTTACTTAATTGATACCTAATTAATTTTTTAAACAATAATTTATAATAGGACACCTCGGTTGAACGAATTGGCTAAAAGGATGAATAAGACTCTAGTTGAGAGAGTTAGATGCTTGCTTTCTCATGCGCAATTGCCTAAGTCATTTTGGGGTAAGCCTTTAAACATTTTTTTTATTTAATAAATCTCTCACCTTGTATGCCTTTGTCATTTGATAGGATTTAGAGTGGAAAAAATATATCCTCCGATCACTTAAAAGTTTTTAGATGCAAGACATTCGTGCATGTCCTTAAAGATGAGGGATCTAATCTTGATATAAAGATAAGAAAGTGTATCTTTTTAGGGTATGGTCAAGATGCATTTGGTTACAAGCTTATGATCTAGTTGAAAAGATAATCAAAAGTTATGATGTTATATTTTTAGAGGATTAGACGATACGGGATAGAGAAGGCGGAATAGATAGTGATCGAGTCTTATGATGATATTGTAGATATAGAGCCATTTGAGCTAGCTCATTCTACTCCAAGTAGTTGAGCTAGTTGAACATGATATTTTCATAAACTAAGCAGGAATCACAGAATGATAATGAACTATAAGAAAACGAGTTAGATTCATGATGATACATCAAGGGATGACTAGGATCGGATAGTTGAACAGGGTGATAAACATGCTCCATAAGAAACTCCATTCAAACTATCTAACAAAGATTGAAGACATTTTACAACGTACTCTACCGATGAGTATGTGTTATCGATTGACGAGTAGAGAACTTAAATCCTACAAAGAAGTAATAAAAGATGAGAACAAAGAAAAGTAGATTGAAGCCATGAATGATGAGATGAAGTTTTTATATGAGAACAATACCTATGAATTAGTAAGACCACCCAAAGGTTGAAGAGCTTTGAAAAACAAATGGGTGTTTAGAATTAAGCATGAAGAACATGCCACCATCCTCGAATCAAAACAAAATTAGTGTTGAAAGGTTTCAATTAGAAAAGAGGTATTGATTTTGAGGAGATATTTTCTCCATTAGTGAAGATGCCATCTATTTGAGTTGTTCTCGACCTAGTAGCGAGTCTTGACTTGGAAGTTAAATAGATGGATGTCAAGAGAACCTTTTTACATGGTGACTTAAAAGAGAAAATCTATATAAAGTAGCCGAGAGGGGTTTCGAGTGAAAGGCAAGGAAAACTCGATGTGTAAATTAAAGAAAAGTCTTTATGGTTTGAAACAAGCTCTTAGGTAGTGGTACAAGAAGTTTAACTCGGTTATGGGGAGCAAGTTTATACGAAAACTGTATCAAATCATTGTGTTTATATGTAGAAATTTTTTTATGACAACTTTATTATATTGTTGCTCTATATAGATGATATCTTAATTGTTGGTAGGAATGCTTTAAGGATAACTAACTTGAAAAAGCGAGTTGGACAAGTTATTTGAAACAAATTACTTAGGGCTAGCAAAGAAAATTTTGGGCATATACATTGAACATGATAGAGCAACTAAAAGAATGTACTTATCTCTAAAGAAGTACATTGAGAAAGTACTTTAGAGATTCAAGATGGATAAAGCTAAAGTGGTTATCTTTCCTCTTACAACCCATTTTAAACTAAGCATTCAACAAAGTCCTTCTATAGATGAGGAGAAAGAGGAGATGTAAAGAGTTTCATATGCTTCATTTATTGGGAGTTTGATGTATGCCGTGGTAAGTACAAGGCCTAACATTGCTCATGTTGTTGGGGTAGTTAGCAATTTTTGTTAAATCCAGGAAAGAAGCATTGGAATGTAGTAAAGTGGATAATATGATATCTTAGAGGCGTAAGCAGTTTGAAGTTGTCTTATGGTGCTAGAAAATCAGAATTAATTAGCTATACAAATTTAGACATGGTAGGAGACATTGACTCTTGCAAGTCTACATCCGGGTCTTTGATTACTTTTATGAGAGGAGCCGTGGCTTGGCAATCTAGACTCGTAAAAGTGTGTTGCTCTTTTCACTATTGAGGTGAAATTCATTGCAGTAATGAAAGCTTGTAAAGAGTTGTTATGGAGGAAGAAATATGTTCGGGAACTCGGCTTCAAGTAAGATAGGTATGTGTTATTTTGTAATAGTCGAGTGTTATCCACCTTCATAAAAATTCTACATTTCATGCTAGATTGAAGAACATTGATATTTGATACCGATGATAATGGCTCCAATATGTTGACTAAAGTATTACCAAGGGAGAAACTTAAGGCTTGTCATTTAGCCGTTGGGATGGTGAATACCTCCACCTAGTCGTGAGGGGGAGATTTGTTGGATTTCCCTCCTAGTTGGAAGATGGCTAAAGGTTTGCCTATATGAGCTCAATCTTAGAGCCTATATGGAGGATTTTTTTAATCATTTGAAGAGTAATTTAAGTATTTCTCAAATCAACCCTCTCTTCTCTTTAATTCTAAGATTAGATTAGGGAAGAAATTAGAGAGAGAGAAAAAGAAAAGAAAAGGAGAGAGAACAACTTTAGAGAGAAAGAGAAAGAAAGTTTCAAAACAGATCGATCATGGTAAAATTAAGTGTTTAGGTATGTTAACTGTTGAATCGAGCTCAAATTTGATAGAAACTTTCGAGAGAGAAAGACACACATCCAAACCGTGTAAATGCGAGTTAAAGACCTAGAGAGTGAGATATGATGCTCACAACAATGCTGTTTTCTAGTGAAATCTAAACTTGGCTCTTCTCTTTTCTTTATATATCATCTATTGATGAGGTTTGTCAAGGGTGTGTAACCATTGATACTTGTGGCTGATGTATTCCTCTAGTTTCATCTAGAAAAGACTCCTTATATTATCCATTATTGTTGATAATGGAAGTCTTTGTGGATTCTAGTCCTATGGTTTTTTCTTCTCAATTTGAGGAAGTTTTTTACGTAAAATTCGTGTGTTCTTTGTGTGATTGGTATTCTGTTTTTCAAATTATTAGTTACTTATTTTGTTTTGGGAATTTGTTTGTAATTCTTATTTGATTGTTTAAGTAAGGATATGTAAATAGGTTCTGCTATGTTATTTGTATTTTTTTGTCCAACATCCATACTCCAAGTATGGTGGAGTGCACTCTTTAATGGCCGTGCTGCCAATATTCATATGGATTAGGTTCAAACATATATATATATATATATGAATCTTAAAATTACGTAATGTAGTGGTTCTTAATATATATTTTTTTAATTTTATAAAACAAAAGATAATAACAAAATAAGTGTGTATTTTATGAAATTTTCAAATCAAATGTTAAAATTGATTTTTTTTTCCCGAATGGATGTGTGTACTTTTAAAAATGTAACAATTAAGTGAAATTTAAAAAGATGAAATGTATGATATGAAAATATCGTTGATGTATCATTTAATTGGTGAGTAGAAAATTATGACATAGATGTAATTGATGACGTGCCAAATTACTGATGACATGACAGTATGACATGGAAAAACATTTTTTGAGAGAAATTTCCTTCCATTTTTTTTTTACCTTTTTGTGAAAAATATATAATACAATTAAAAAATAATTGAACCAAACCTAATAACTTATTGGTTCTCTTCTTTTCTAACCTTTTTTTTTTTAAAAAAAAAAACCGTTCAAAATAGTAAAAAAAAGAAATAGAAGGGAAATTTGCATTTTTCATAAAACATCGAAACAATATTTTATAATAGTCATCTTAAATTTTTGTATTTATGCATCTAACTAAAAAAAATACTTATTTTATTTCATTCGAATTAAAATTATCATGGAAAAGTTACATTTGCCAACAAAAACAAATTATATTATATTTATAATAAAAAAATAAATTTATGACATGAACCAAATAAGAAAATGTGAAAAGAAAGTAATTTGAATGTTTTGCGGTGGTAAAAGTACATTTTATATTTTTTTCAAAAAGTAAAATATATATATATACGGAAATTCCCTTCTAATTTTTTTTTCCATGTCATTGGTGCTACATCATCACTCAATATTTATGTTATAATTGTCAACTCATCACTTAAATGACATTTTATGAATATTTTCATATCATACATCCCATATTTTCAAATTTCATTTGATTCTTATAATTTTTTTTAAAAAAAATTAAAGTACAACACTTATTATTTCACCAAAAAAAAAAAAAAATTTTGTTCATTGTGAAGAAATCCAAACCATCAATTTGGATTTTGCAAACATGATGGATCATATCACCACTAATTTAAGGAGATCTAAATCTATGACGACAACAATGTTTTTGGTTAAAAAACAAAAGAACAAAAGAAAGGCATTGTGGTAGACTCATGTAGTAAAATTATAATCACTATTCAAAGCCAAGATCAGCCAGAAATATCAAATTGTGTTGTTAATATTTTTTTTAAAAAAAATGATCGTTATTTTTCTCAATGAAGAAATTCAAACCAATAATTCTAAATCAATAAGTTGGATTTTACAAAAATTATAGATCATAATGCT